TATCTATCTATCTATCTATCTATCTATCTATCTATCACACATGAGCTCTGTCTAAGCTGGGCCCCGTTTCATTCACATCACCTGTCCCACCAACCAGGAACCAGAACCAGATGTTTACAGTAGAAACAGGAAGATATCAACCTGTGGATTATCTGAATATCTTAGTACTGAATGCCCAATAACAATGGACATTTACACACTATAGGACCAGTTTGATAGAACACAATATATATAATTAGGGGGTCCCCGCTCCTTCTCGCCATCAGTTTGGGGCTCCTTGGCCTGGAAAACCTTGAAGACCCCTGTTTTAAGGAGCTACTAAATCTTTTTTTTTTATCTACAGCTGTTCAAAAGATAAGACGGAAGCTTTATCCTGCACATGAATGCCATATTTGACTTTTCTGATTATATTAAATGGAAGAGAAAACCCTTTTAAAGTGGTCCCAGGCTGCTCTCTGACTCAGGCCACTGACTCCACCCACTCTCCTGTCAACCCACTGTTAAAACAGGCCAATACTGACCCAGTTTTCCTTTGGAAAAACAAACAAACACTAAAATAAAGGGCTATAAAAGACTTATTAAAAGCAAACACTGGTTGAGGACAGTCAATATCCAAGTTCCTAAAATACGTTGGTCTTCTCAGACTAAATTCAGATTTAGGTTCTTGTTGTTTTTTAAAGGATTTCCAAACTCCTAAATTGAGGTTGATTGATGTTCTTTAACACTTTTACAGACTACATATCAGGGTTTTGGAGTGGTTGTCCCACACGCTGACTGTCTGGTGCCATTACCTCCCACAGTTGTACAACCTCTTCCCCTGGCTCATGGAGCGTCTCCCTGGCTACCACCACACCGCTTTCGGCCTCATCGAACAGGTCAGGGAGTTCGTTAAGACAAAGATCCAGGAGCACAAAGACACTCTGGACCCGAACGCCCCGAGAGACTACATCGACTGCTACCTCATCCGAAGCGACCAGGTTGGAAATCAGTTTGATGGATAAAACTAAAAAGCAGAGAACAGTTTTTTTCCTCTTAGATTTGGCGCTTGTAATTATTATCCTGAGTAATGGTCCTCCAGGCTTTCTGAGGATCTTTCTTACAGCTTTATTGGACAAAACTTTGAGGTGCTCCTTCTTTCTTTGTTGAACTATCCAGGCAGAGAAAGGCCCCTAACTGAAGGGGTGAGCCAGCCTTGTGTCCAGCTCAGCAGAGCAGCAGTTTAAAGTGGATCTTTAGGCTCTTTGTCAGCAGCAGCCTGTCACAAAAACACTGAATTTGTTCCATTTCTTTGGCTGATGTGTGAAAAAAGCCAAAGAAAATACAGTTTGACGGACAGGAAACAGGATTTCCTAAAACATTTGAGAAAACTGGACAAGTAAAGGACAAAAGAAGAAGAGTTGGGCCCAGACTTTAAACAGACTTCGAACTATAAAGTTTGTAAAAAAAAGAAAGAAAAGTATTAACTCTTTACATTTGTGTTTGAATAAATCCATGCCACTTTTTCCTGTTTGCTTGAATTTGAACGGATCAAATTCCCAGATTTAAACAGTCAGACATATTTAGTGTTTATTCTCATCACCTTAAATTCCAGGAAAAGGACTTGGCCACAAGTGAGTTCCACTATGAAAACCTGGTGGCCACAGTGATGAACCTGTTCCTGGCGGGAACAGAGACCACCAGCTCCACCATCAGATACGCCCTCAGTGTACTGATGAAGCACAGGAACATACAGGGTGAGTCAAACCCACCCTTTAACCTCTTTAACTCATTGGCTGCCATCCATTTTCAGAACAGAGAGTCCCATACTGTCAGAGTTTTTTTTAGCATTTTGACTGATTTTTCAAGAGCCACAGAATAGTTTGTGCTATGACTATGTAAACACCGAACACACCAAAAGAAAGAGTAGACTCTCTTCTTTCATCACGAAAAAATTTTCTACCTTATTCCGTTCTTACTCGACTTGCGTCTCACTGGCGCCATTTCTCGCATAGCGAACCATACGTTTTTCTTATTTGCCTACAGTCTCTTCTAATCTCCTATCAAAAGTGGCACTGCCACCTAGAGGGTCAATTTATTACTACATACTCTGTCTAGAAGCCTGATATTTACGGACAAGCTTTAGCAGATCGTCCCCCCAGCCACTCGCGT